GGCTGTTGAGGATGACAGTGCATGTGCAGAATGAGCCCGCACTGCAATAGGCAGAGAGAAATGGGAAAGGCCATACGCCAACATGATGGAGTTAACTAACCACCTGGCGAGTTTCTGTGTCCAGGCAGGAGAGCCTTCGGACCCTTGTCAGTAGGTTACAAAGAGCCTGTCAGTCTTGTGGAAAGGCCACGTCCTGGCTGTGTAGAAGGCTAGGGCGCATCTGACATCCAGTGAATGAGAAGGAAGGAGATGGGCAAAAGACAGGTAAGACGACTGGCTGGGAGAGGTGGAAATGAGAGTGCACCTTAGGAATGAAGGAGATGTCCGGATACGCCACCACTTTATCTTTATAGAATTGAAGGAATGGAGGATCATGGCAGGGTGCAGTGAGCTCTCCAGCAATCCTGGCAGAGGTGATGGCGCCAAGGAAGACCATCTTCAGCATCAGAAAACGCAGGTGAGGAGTAGCTAAAGATTCCAAGGGAGAATGCATGAGACAGCGAAGAACTAACGTTAAGAAACCACTGAGTGGGTGGAGGGTAGACATCCGGAAAGAGGTTGTGGAGTCCCTTCAGGAATCGTTTGATCGCTCTGTCAGCACCATCTCCTCAACACCCAACAGAACTGACCCACCCCGACCATACTCAGTCTTTGGGTTTGGATGACCCTTCCGATCCTGACACAGCCTCTGTCTCATCAGCAGGTACCCCCTCGGTCTTGATAACTACTCCAGAATTGAACGTTGCTGACCCTCGTCCCCCTTCTCCCTCTCCAGACCTTCATACTTACTCAGAGCTTATCCTCCGTTTAGCCAAGGCACTAAAGCTCCAGGCTCAGAACCATCCCTCACAGCACTCTGATCCTCATTATGATCAGATAGACAAAACCAACACTGCCCCAATTCAGCTTGCTATGATGCCCTGCCTAATGGACGTTGCTAAGGGCCTTTTGGACAAACCTTCCACTGAGCCTCTGGGCTATAGAAGGGTTGAGAGTTATTACAAGATTTTTGACACAGGAATGAACTTCCTGGCCAAGCAGCCTTCACCCAACTCCCTCGTAATTGCTGCTTCCCAGCCGAAATCTAAAGGGCACCAGCTTTTAGCTCCTAATAATAGAGAGGGATGAAGGTTGGACACAGTGGATAGGAAGGTCTACTCCACTGCTTCCTTATCTCATTGCATTGCTAACTATTGGAGCAATGGGCACATATAGTAGACACTTTGGTAGTCAACTGCAACCCTTCCTTGACAAACTACCTGAGGATTGCTGTGCACAAGCCAATCAACTGCACCAAGAAGGTCTCACAGTTGCTACCCAACAAATGCGGGCTGCATGCCATGCCACAGAGTGCCCAGTGCCATATGTGTCCACAGCGGTCTGACTTCACTGCCATGCCTGGCTGCGTTCTGCAGACCTACCAGATGATGCCAGAGCTCATATCAAGGACCTCCCCTTTGATGGTTATGGTTTATTTAATACCCAAATCAACAACATTATGAAGGACCTCCAGAACAAGATGAATGCAGCCAAGCAACTGAGAATCTACCCCCAAGCCACCCAACAATATTTTGCTACCCCTATAGATGCCCTATGCCATATCAACCTGCTCGACCAATGTCTGAAAGGCCACATTACACTTCTCCTGCATCAGCAACATACACTCCCAACATGCATCGCACTCCAAATATCACCCAGCCAACCACCACCAAGCACACTGAGCATGTCAAAACAGCCTTTCTGACCTCCTCCTACCGGGGTTCCTGCAGACTCTCCACCAAACTTCTTTCTGTTTCTCCCTTGGTGGAAGATCGTCACTTCCAACACGTGGAAGTTCATGTCTATAGTTCAGAATGGATATCTCATAAAATTCCATTCACTACCTCCTCTTGGCATATTGAAACCCACTCCACTTACCACCTGCTCCACCTCGAAGTATACACTCTTCTCAGCAAGGACCAGTCCCCCCATCCAATTACCAGCAGTTTTTTCTCCTGCTCTTTCACTGTACCAAAGGATGGGGTGTCTCTGTCCCATTCACAACCTTCATGATATCACCAGTTTGATAACCTCCAAGTTTCGCAAGACCAGCTTAGAGACCATCTTTCCGCTTCTCTGACGGGGAGACTGGTTCTCAGTCATCCACCTTTGGGATGCCTATTTTCATATACTGTACACATCTGTCTGAACCACAGACATTTTCTCTCCTTATCCCGCTGCTCTAGCTTTTCATTTCAAAACGCTTCTCTTCGGCCTTTCCACCGCCCCACACATTTTTACAAAGTTGATGAGTTGTGAAAGTACGAGGCAGTTATCTGCAGTGACCTGCATCAGGACAAGACGAGGACCATACTGATCATTCCCTGGTGGTCTCAGCAGGCCTGGTTTGTGCCTCTCCACCAAGTTTGGAAAACTCAGCAGTGGCCAGAGGATTGGAAAAGATCAGTCTACATCCCAATCCCAAAGAAGGGCAGTGCCAAAGAATGCTCCAACTACCATACAATTGCATTCATTTCCCACGCTAGCAAGGTTATGCTCAAAATCCTACAAGTTAGGCTTCAGCAGTACGTGGACCAAGAACTCCCACAAGTACAAGCTGGATTCCGAAGGGGCAGAGGAACTAGAGATTAGATTGCTAACATGCGCTGGATAATGGAGAAAGCCAAAGAGTTCCAGAAAAACATCTACTTCTGCTTCGATGACTATGCAACAGCCTTTGACTGTGTGGACCACAACTAACTACGGCAAGTCCTTAAAGAAAGGGAAGTGCCTGACCACCTTATCTATTTCCTGAGAAATCTATATGTGGGACAGGAAGCAACAGTTAGAACTGGATATGGAACAACTGA